ATTAGTGATTTTTTAAGTTTTCAAGAATCAAACAAACACTTGCCAGGCTTTTCCTACTATTCGACTATTACTTTGGTTTTAAAACCATGATCCTTCGCAATGCGCTTTACAATAAACTGACATTCGTTTTTCAACTGAAAATGTTCAATCACAATGCTAAACGATTCCTCCACAAACGTACATACATTTGTCTAAGACATTTATATGATTAGTATCCGACAACGCGGGGTCTTCGTATAGTACTAAAAATGAACAGTATTACACATTCGCACAGTGTATCCCATATTCATTGCCAAATTTTGCAACCAATGATCTGTGCTTTCTGATCTCTAAAGACTGAAACATCCATTTTTTGCTACCATAGTATATTTCCTCTAACAATCGTATATTTTAAACGATATGTGTTTGTTACACACGCATCGTCCATTTTAAAGAGCTTTAAGACATATTTCTCTTCGAGACCATCCACCAAACTATACTATTTGACTTCTACCTCCTCGGCAATTTCCCCTCAAATGGTGCGCATTGGTGTCTTAAATTATGCATATGAAATGCTTAAAGAGCGGGCCGATTTTTTAATTCAAACATTCTCTCGACCCTTCGCTAGATTGAAAGCGACACGATATCTCAAAAGATTGTATTCTCTTTTTCTATTCCCGCTCGGAATGAAGAGAGCTTTCGCATTTGTATTTCGCAAGAGCGTGCGTACACATTAAGTTTGTTGCATGTGGACAGTAAAATTTCCGAAGAAAGATTCACTAAGTCCGCAACATAGCTGTCAGTTTCCGGCATGTATGTTTCCCTATTTTGTTCATAATTTTCGTTCATATTTGCCACTCCGTGTGATGTCATTAATTAAAACGAATAAACGCACTAAGTAACAAAGAACGAATAAAGAATAAATAGGACACCCAGAGTTCAAATCATATGTTTACTGAAGAAAAATGTTTGTCATACATCATTCCCCCATTTACGAGCTTTGTCGCTGTTTGAACGTTGTTCGTCACTTTTACCAAGCAAAGTTAAAAAACGGACTAACTTTCCGGAACTTTAGCAATTCATAGCAAACAGATCTTCAGGTTTAATTTGACTGTCAAGTCGTGTTTATTTGCTAATCCTCACACACACTTAGTTTCGTCTGATTTACCCATTGATCATTGGTTTCTCGAATCGCAATTCCATCGAAAATTTTTCGCCTATATCGTTCACTTCAAATGGAAAAATGTTTTAAACATTATTCAAAGCGTAAGCTTCGCAAACGGACATGCTCTTTGCAACTAGAAGACTTTGC